ATTTAAAAATAATAAAAATAAAAATAGGCCGGGTGCGGTGGCTCACGCCTGTAATCCCAGCCTGAGCAGATTGTACCATTGCACTGCAGCCTGAGCAATAAGAGTGAAACTCTGTCTCCAAAAAAAATAAATAAAATAAATGTAAAGAAAAACATTAACTTTTAGTAAATCTGTACATCAGGTCATGGATGTAAAGTTATGATCACAGGCATAAAATCATATAGCAATATTTCATTATTTTGAAAAATTATAATTAAGAGTAAAAAATCCTTCTGGAATATAGAAATCCTTAATAGCCTTCTAATTTCTTATTTTCCCTCCCTAACTTGGATACTAATGGTAATTTTGTCATCACGATCACATCTTAAACATTTGCAAACTCGTAGCAAAATGAAGTATCTCTTACAGAAAATAACGTCCAGGGTAAACTGTCACAGGAATCCAATCCATTTTTAGCTTAAATTCCCTTTCCTCGCATTCTTATAAAACTGATCCCTTGTTACACAGCAGTAAAATGCAACCTCTCCGGGTAAACTTGGCAAATAACACTCATAACACAGCAGGGAACGCTGTGCATAGCGATCGTCACCGCCGTCGCTGGTGGATGTTTTTTATGAGGACAGATCAATAGTGAGGAGATGGTGTGCGGTGCTCACATCAGCATGAATGTTTCCACACAGTTATTTACCTACTTAGTTTTTAATTTGCATGACACATCGTTCGGCAGTTCCTGTGGCCTAGATTCCTTCCACATCCAAACCGAACTTTTCTTTTTCATTTTATGCACAAGAGCACAAAGAAAGGAAAACAGGATCCTTGAGATCATCGTATTCTTAGAATACAAACCATATTCCTACACAGCTATGCTCCAGTCTGGCTCGGGGAGAGGTCAGATCTGACATTAGATGGTTAATTTTTGTAACACTGCCACTCTAAAATTAATTCCTAGGTGCAGAGCAGCAAAGGACTTCCTAGTTACTGGCAAACCGCTCTCCAAAGTCATTCTTACAATCTCATCACCCCCAGTGTTCTCCATCCTTGAGAGTATTTTATATCATCAGACTTCTTAAATTTTTACCAATCTGTAGCATATGAAACTTTTTCCTTTCCTTCTTTTGTTTTATTGATCATCAGTGCTGTTTGGTATCATTAAACTATGACAATTCAGGTTTCCATTGTGAGAACTGCCTATTCACACCCCCTGTATACATTTCTCTATAGACTCATTGTTTTTAACTTGTTAGTGATTTATTTGTCAAGAGAAACTATTTCTTAGCCCACATATCCACGCTTCATAGTTCAGAAACACAGGTCAGGGACAAACTTCTAGGTAATTCAACCCAAAGAAATACCTTATATTCCAAAATCACATTGCATTCTGAAAGATACCAGCCTTCTTCATCTCCTCAAAATCTTCCATAGAATTATAATTCTTGTCAAAGTCTGTATCTGCCTTCTTTCTTGGTTCAACCACAGCAAACTGAGACAAAGCTGCAACTCCCAGAAATACGACAAATGTTCCAACAACATGAAATCATAGACGCTTGGCCGGAAGGCCAGCATCGGAGGATTCGTCAAAGCAGTGGAAGTCTTAGTAGTTACTGTCCTTGATAGGTAAGCCAGCCTCAACATCATCAATGTCCTTCCCACCTGGTGGAGAAATGGGTGTGAGACATATAGATGTGTGTGTGTGTGCGTGTGTGTGTGTGTGTGTGTGTGTGTGTGTGTGTGTGAGAGAGAGAGAGAGAGAGAGAGAGGGAGAGGGAGACAGAGACAGAGAGAGAGACGGGGGGAGGGAGAGAGAGAAAGAGAGAGAGACAGAGACAGCTGGTGGGGGGAGAGAAAGAGAGAGAGACAGAGACAGCCGGGGGGAGGGGGGGAGAGAGAGAGAGAGAGAGAAAGTCTATAGACTTATCTCTTTATATGAGGTTTACTGCCCTTGATATATTTCAGTCGTTAATTCTTTGTTAGATATAGCATAGCTCTAACTTGGTTGATAGCAGCCAGAGTGAATCTTTTACAAACAGAAATGAGACATCACCCAGTCACTGGATCTTAGAGTAAATCTCTAACTCCACATCCACTGGATCTTAGAATAAATCTCCAACTCCCACATGCTGGCTCCACGTCTTCTAGGAGCTGGTGCCTTCCCCTCCTGGTGTGTGCACTGCTCTCCAGCTCACTGTCTCTGAGACCTGCTCTTTGAATGGGCCCCACGATGGGCTCTGCACACACCCTCTCCCTTCTGCGTGGAAGCATCCTCCTCCAGGTCTCCCCATCGTCATCTCCGTCATCCCTTCCACTGCTCTTCCCTGACCCATGAGACACTGACGTTCTCTCCCCTGGTCCCAAACGCTTTCCCTTCATAGACTTAACATAACTTGTTACAGGTTTGTGTTCCTTTGTCTACAGTATTCATCTGGCTGTCCCCTCCAGGAGGCTGGGACCACCCATGCCCACTGTGTCCAAAACCATAAACCCAAAACCTCCTTCAACTGGTCAATAACTTGTAGGTTACACCTCCAACAACTAGTAGGTCACAGACGAACCTGTGTCACAGGAAGGAAAGACTGGCAGATTTAATCGACTCTAGAAATTGTATCTGTTTCACTAATCTTTTGATGACATACGACTTGCTGATTTCAGATTAAGAGCCACTGTTACCATAAATATTCACTGCACAGACCTTTCATTAAAATACTATTTAACTCAATAGCATACCATGAGCAATCACAAACATACTGCCATTTCTTTTTCTTTTTCTTTTTTTTTTTTGTACTTGCATAGTCTGTAACTGCTAACATAAGTGAATTATCACTTAGAATGTTTGTTTCAGCACGTGTAATCTAGAAAGCCAGGGATTAGTTCATTTAAGTGTTTTGGCACTTAGGATGTTATGTGGTAAAGACACACATTTAATATTTTTCTGGAGTTCTCTGCTGTATGACTAGCCCATTAGGTAACACTAATACTGTTCATTTCAGACAAAGGAAATACCCAGAGATTAAAGGTACTACACAACAGGACTTTAATCCCAAGGGACCTAATGCTTTCTCTGACTTTCCCAAGAATAACTCAGCACAAACAACCAGGATTTGCAAAAGAAAAGCCATAGAGATGGAAACTATTTACAACTTTCTCAACGCACACAACTCACACTACCCTGCAAGGTATCTTTAAGAGTCTGCAAAATAAATAACCTCTAAAACCATCAGATGAAATTTCACACCTTATCACTGTTCGCTGGCTAAAGATTTTTATCCAATAAAATATGTAATCTCTCATTCTTGCACGTTTTCTGCAATTCTTCTCTAGCTGCCAATAGCTCACATTCATAGTTGTTAATTCTCCTGCTTAAAACATTTCCTGCTTTTAAAGAATCCCCTTCCAAAGAGTCAGCCACTTTTCTTCCATTTTCCACTAAAAGAAAAGAAAAGAAAAGAAAAATCTTACAGTTCTTTTATTAGCTCGCTCTGCAGAGAAACTGTCAAGGCTGAATTGACATATCGCACAGGTCCAGGGCTCTAAGTTCAATGAACTAAGACACTTGTTTGTTAAAGATTTTATCCTCCTAGGTCTCACTCTATTTTTTTTACTTGACTTACTTCTTCCTGTAAAGTTACTTTCTTTCCTGAAGCAAGAGAGCTTCCATTCAAATTTTTTTCTAGTATTCCCCTTAGGTCTATGAGAAAGAGACAAGCATGCAGAAAGTTTACATTAACATGCTCTTCTGTATCTGACAAAATCAGTTGGCCTCCTGTTCAACAGTATTTAGGTTGCTGTCCATGATAGTTAATTTCATGTCAACTTTCCTGGGCCACAATGTCCAGATATGTGGTCAAACGCTACTCCAGATTTTTCTGGGACATTGCTTTTGGGTGAGATTAACATTTTAATTGCTGGGCTTTGAGTAAAGCAGGCTGCCCTCCCTGATGTGGGTGGGCCTCGTCCAATCAGTTGAAGGCCTGGCCAGAACAAAAGACTGACCTCCCCTGAGCAAGATGGGATCCTCTAGCAGGCAGCCTCCAGGTTCCATCACAGCAGCAGCTCTTCCTGGATCTAAAGCACATGGCCTTGGCCTC